AAAAAAAAAAAAGCATTGACCCATGTCACTTTAGTTTTGTGTATTTCACTGTACATAAATTATATTTCCATAAAATGAATTTTAAAAAATGCCAATTAAGAAACCACTTCTCACTGTCTGTAAGGTTATCCCAAGCAAACAAAATATATTTGCTCCTGCGTGCCAGGAACCTTGCAATGCTGAGTTCACCGCTGCCATTTCATAAATTTCGACAACTAGCTTGCCCAAGTAACACAGCTATTCTACTAGAATCTGGAGCAGAGCTTAAGCGCTTTCCTCCACACCAGGCCACCCTGTCTCGCCCCAAAGGTCTACACTAAACCAGAGATTCCAGTTATCATTTTTAAAGCACACCAAAAGTAGGTATGAAATAATACCCTGGAACAAAACCAAACGCAGACAAGACTGCCAAACGCTGCATAAGTTTTGTTGTTGTAAATAAAGATTCTAAAGTCACTGAGCACAGCCACCAGCGCAACAGAGACCTTTCGGGGTCAGCACGTGGCTCCGGGTCCCAAGCGTCTGGCACGTGTGCCTGTCCGGCTCCCCAGTCGCCTAGGTGTCGCAGGCGGCGGATGCGGCCGATCTAGTTGGCCTGCCTGGACCATCACGTGGGGAGTAGGCTGCCTGCCGCCTGGAGGGCCCGCACTCACCGTGACGGTCACCTCATCGTCATGTAGTATGAGGGCCGAGTAGATGCAGGCGAGCTCGGAAACAGAGGCCATGGTATACTAGTGCTGGGCTGGCGGCTGCCGGGCGCGGTGCTAGTCGCCGGATGAAGTGAGGGCCTCACTCCAACGCGGCCTTAGCTCCCACGGAAGAACCGAGCACCTTAGCGGCAGCTGAGGAAAAGGCTTTATGCGCTTGCGCGCAGCATCTTATACCCACCATGCGGACCAATCGGCGCCCGCTTCTGGCGGAAGAGGCGGAGAGACGGTCTCCAGCGAGGACATATCTGAGGCGCGCCTGCGCGCAAATCGTGACTCTTCTCAAGTATTGATGAAGTTGTTAGGTAGGAACAGATACACTTGTTTTGGGTAAAGTCGGAGCTCTAGAACATTAATATTTTGTAGGGAACAGTTTTCTAAGTAAATGGACTTCACCCCCGTTGGTCCGACTTTGCAAGAACTGTACTGTAACCCTTGTAATACTATTTAGAGAGTTAGTTACGTCGCCAGCCAGTCTCTTCCAGCAGGCGGTGACCTTTGGGAGCGCAGAAGCTATGTTACATCTTGGAAGCTCCAGTGCTTGCTCAGTAACTTAGTTATAAGTAAAGAAACTTTCAGTCAAGATAGCTGTACCATTTGAGAACCTACTGTGTAATGAGCCACACTCTGCAAAGATTTCTTTAATCTTCACAACAGAAGAGGTAGATACTCGCTGCATTTTAAGAATGGCAGATTTTACTTCGGGGAAACTGCGTTTTTCAGTCAGTGCCATTATGTTATCGTCATCCTGGCCAAACTTTATCGGAATCCTCTACTTTAGGGACGGTCCCACGTGGGTCAGTCATAGCCAGCAAAGGTAGATACCTCTTAATACTCCAAAATTTAAAATATGTAACCTTTAAAATATATATAACCTATATTGCGAGTGGAATACGTTGTATGTTGGCACAATCACTTTGAAGAGCTAATTGGCAAAACATGATTAAAGTTGAAGATGTCCATAGCTTAAACCCAGGGACTCCAGTCCTGATTTTTACCGGAGAAACTCTGGAATATGGGCATGAGGTCCCTAGTACAAGGCTGTTCCCTAAGCGCTGTGTGCATAAGGAAAATTACAAACACTGCCTCTCAGTAGGGTTATCAGTAAAAGCATGGGAATAGTATAAAGCAGTGAACATGAGATGTGTCAATGTGAATATATCTCAAAAACAAGTGAAAAAAGCAAGTTGCACAAGGAGTACAGTTAGGCTCCATCTCTTAGCTACATGACCTAGGACAGAGCATTTGGCTTCACTTTACTTCTGTACAGTGCAAATAATGTGATTTTGTCTCTGGGTGGTACAGATCAAATAATTATCGAAAAGTCTGGAATCCAAAATACTAAATAATGTAAGGTATAATGATCTGAACAGACAATCCTGTCTTGTATAACATTAGAAATTACCAACTATAAAATTAACCAATTAGGGCTAAGAACATTTTAGACTATAGATGAGACACAATCACTTGGGCTTAAATATCAGTTCCCCCATTTACAATTTTGGGGTCCTTGAGCAAATCCTCACTCTCAATCTCAGTTTCTTCACCTTTAAATTATAGATTTTGGTACAGAGTACGAGACACAGAGTGAAAACTTGATTAACCACAGATATTTTTTAGAGCTATTTAAGAAAAACATCAATTGCCTGTGTGTTTCCCTTTAGTTTTTGTAGCCCAAGATTTTAGCACATAACAACAACAACTATATATATATATATGGTTTTAAGACATACCTCATCCCTCTAGATTCCTCTAGAGGAAGAAATGACAAGATAAAATAGCTGAACAAAAGATTTGAAAGAGCAGCTTGAGCAGACAAAGCCAATTACCATAATGAAAGGTGCAAAGACCTGGAGTTAGAGAACCAAAAGGGAAGAACGTGCCTGACATTTCTCAAGCTGAAAGAACTGAGGAAAAAAAGCCTCAAGTTGCACTATTAAAAGATTCTATGGGCAAAATATTGAATGATGAAGGAAGCATCAAAAGAAGATGGAAGGAATACACAGAGTCAATATACCAAAAAGAATTGGTCGATGTCCATCCATTTCAGGAGGTGGCAAATGATCAAGAACCAACGGTAATGAAGGAAGAAGTTGAAGCTACACTCTGAGGAATTGGCAAGGAACAAGGCTCCAGGAATTGATGGAATACCCGTTGAGATGTTTCAACAAATGGATGCCCTGCTGGAGGCACTCAATCAGCTACGCAAAGAGATTTTTTGAAGAAAGCTATCCGGCCAACTGACTGGAAGAGATCCATATTTGTATCCATTCCAAAGAAAAGTGATCCCACAGAATGTGGAAATTAACAAACAATATCATTAATATCACATGCAAGTAAGATCTTACTGAAGATAATTAAAAAACGGTTGCAGCAGTATATTGACAGAAACCTTCCAGAAATGCAAGCTGGATTCAGAAGAGGACGTGGAATGAGGGATATCATTGCTGATGTCAGATGGATCTTAGCTGAAAGCAAATACCTGAAAGATGTTTACTTATGTTTTATTGATTATGTCAAAGCATTTGATTTTGTGGATCATAACAAATTATAGATAACATGGAGAAGAATGGGAATTCCTGAACACTTAATTGTACTCATGAGGAACCTGTACATAGATCAGGAGGCTGTCATTCGAACAGAACAAGGGGATACTGCGTGGTTCAAAATCAAGAAAGGAGTGCATCAAGGTTGTATTCTTTCACCATACTTATCCAACTTGTATGCTGAGCAAATAATCTGAGAAGCTGGGTTATATGAAGAATGTGGCATCAGGATTGGAGGAAGACTCATTAACAACCTGCAATACCCAGATGACACAATTTTGCTTGCCAAAAATGAGGATGACTTGAAGCACTTACTGATGAAGATTAAAGACTACAGTCTGCAGTAAGGATTACTCCTCAATATAAAGAAAAGAAAAATCTTCACAAGTGGTCCAATAAACAGCTTCATGGTGGATGGAGAAAAGATTTAAATTGTCAAGGATTTCATATTACTTGGTTCTACAGTCAACACCAATGGAAGCAGCAGTCAAGACATCAGGTGGCATATTACATTGGGCAAATCTGCTGCAAAGGACCTTTCAAGTGATGAGAAGCAATGTCATCTCCTTGAAGACTAAGGTGCGCCTGACCCAAGCCATGGTATTTTCAGTCACCTCTTATGCATGTGAGAGCTGGACAATGAATAAGGAAGACCAAAGAAGAGCTTGATGCTTTTGAGTTGTGGTGTTGGAGAAGAATGCTAAGAATACCATGGTCTGCTAAAAGCACTAACAAATCTGTCCTGGAGGAAGTGCAGCCAGAATGCTCCTTGGAAGCAAGAATGCCAGACTTCATCTCACCTACTTTGGTCATGTGGTCAGAAGGAACCACTCCCTGGAGTACCCATGCTTGGTAAAGTGGAGGTCAGCGAAGAAGGGGAAGGCCCTTAATGAGATGGACAGATACAGTGGCTGCAACATGGGCTCAGGTATAGCAAAGGTCATGAGGCTGACACAGGACTAGGCAGTGTTAAATTCTGCCATGAATAGGGTCACTGTGAGTCAGAGATGATGGCAACTAATAACAGATTGCTCTGTCGCAGTAAAAATTTTCTGCCCATTAAATATAATTATAAAACACTAAAAGCAATATGCCATTTCAAAAATTATGAAATAATCCCAAATTGGAGATTAAATCCTGTTGCATCTAGTGAGACAGGTTTTAACCTTTATAGTGGTAGTCTGAAGCATTCTAAAATACACCTATAAATGACATTGCTTAATGTTATTAGTGAAAAATAAATCGATTTTGCCTTTTTCCTTACTCTCTAAATCTGCTTTTCGCCAACACTACTGTCACACCTTTACCATTAATGAAAAACTGATTGAGAAAACCTACCATTTTAGTAAAAAAAATTATAAAAAGCTCAGCCTCCAGTTACCCAGATTTAATCAGAAAAAAGAAATGTGATCCATGCAAGAATATTTCACCATGCTTTTCAATTAGTGCATTTTCTAATTTGTGTTGTCTTCAAACCACATTGTTTAAATGCCTAGAAGGGCATATCTAGTATATATCATTGCTGTCAAACAGAAAAAGATATCGTCCAGTTAACGGCACATTACTTTATACTTTCTAGTGCTTTTTTTATCATCCCAGAGATAGCGAATGCCAGATAAATGCAAGGACTATACTGGGTGCTGGGAGTACATGCTGAATGACTACCACATAACCTTGTATTTCATAGTGATTTTTATTTTAACTCTTGACGTATCTAAATGTCAGTAAGTGATAATATATACATAATAAATTCAAAGTAACTTCCTAAAATGGTCTTATGATTGGTCAGTCACTGACATCTTTATTTTGAAAGTTTGAATTGTTAAATATGTCTAAAGTGCATTCTTAACAGCTAATCAATAGCAGCATTTGTTTTGTTCATAAAACCTTAAAGAAATACTCAGACCAAAGCTGGAAAAGTCACAATAAAAATAAAGCATGATCTAGATATGTTCTTACTTAGTTATCCAAGACAAACACTTGCATGAATTAGTTCATATGCATACAAGAAATATACAGGGAAAAAAAAAGAATTATAAAAAAGTTCATACAGCAATGAGAAAAGGGGTCTTTTTCTGCTATTAATATTAAATATGTCAAGGTGTATAATATAAAACGGTTGTTGAGTACTCGATGTCTTTGGAACCATAGGGGAAGCTTTGATCTAGGCCAGTGTATGCTATATCCCAGGACTGATGTTCAACAAAGCTGGAGTTTGACAAGATGATTCAGAAGAGTGCTTCTGGCATGGCTTTGAAGAAATAACCACACAAGTGAAAATGTTCTCCTGTTTCTGGGACTGTGTCTGCTTATGGTTTCTTGCGCCTAAAACATAAAAACCAGCATTTAGTGATGAATGTTGCAATTAGTGACACATTCATAAAACTGAATCTTTAGGAGAGCTTTGAGAATTCCTATTTTATGATAGAGAATTTCAGATCCTCCTGAGAGAGCAAACAACTTGTAATATATATTTATCTAGCATCAAATTTAGAAAACAGGACTTACCTTTATCTATACTGTTTTTAACGTTTTTCCAAATTGCCTCAGGAATATATGTGTTAAAAGTGGACACATAAGGAATGGGCTTATGTAAAATATTTTAAAAGAAGGGGTTTTACTAAAATATGAAAAAATAAGCCAGATTCCTAAGTGTGTTTAATACAAGGGGTAAGAAGTGCGACTCTTTTTCTCTACTATAGAGTCTGCCATTTGGTTTTCTTTACTTTATTAAACATTTATTGTTATAACAAGACCAAGTGGCAAGTTGGGAAAGAATGAGTTACACATTTCACACTAACGCCTTTTTACTCTTCCCTCTTTACAGGCGATCTCAGTTCACTTTCTCTAAGCTTTATGAGTTGGCTGAATATGATCAATCTTCCATCACCTCCTCTTCTTGTTGCTCTAAATTGGTCCTAATCAGCCTGCTGAGGCTCTTGGCACTGCTGTTGCCTACTACAGTCTTCCTAGGTATTCCAAGGGGTTAACAAAAATCTCTTTATTTCCTCTTAAAATCAAGCAGTTGAGAGGGAGAAGGGAGTGGTGGAAACACTAGAGGAGGGAAAACAAACACAGAAGAGCCAACTGCTCACTTGGGCTGTGCATGATGCTGATATCCAGGTCCCAGTTGAGATCCTGCTCTCATCTCCACAGCCACGGAACACTGAGAGGAGAAATGCAAAGAGGAAGAGATCAGCTCCTCTCAGCTCTATTTAAAGAACAGACTCGACCAACATGAAATCTAACACTGCTTTCAGCAAAGAGGGCTATGTTAAAATACCAGTCAGATACTTGCAGTTTATTTCTGACAATGACCACATCCCAGTAACGTCCCTCGTTTCAGAAACGAGGAAGAGGAGTTAAAAAAGTTACTCGCCAGACCAGCAACTTTCCTGGTTCCCACAGCCCCCACCTTCCCATGCTCTTTGCACATGAGGCTCTCATTAGGAATGACAGTCACCAAGGGAATTCCCAGCAAGCTGCTTCTAAGAAAGATTCCCAGCAATCTGATGTGAATTCTTGTTATTCTAGGGTGATACTTTCTGACTTAATTCTATGACTCTGCCCCTCTGCAAAAAACAAAAAACAACAACAAAAAAAAAACCCACGGCCTTTGACTAGAAGAGCTCCATATGGCCAGACTGAAACAAATGTAAGGTGGCTTTGCCAGTTTGCTAACTAACATGCCTATAACCTACACTGGCATCAAGAGCTTATACTTCAGCTTCTTCAAATAGCATCATAAGCTAAAGCTATGGAATTTAAAGCATGACACCCCCACTTTTTATTAAGAAAATATTTAATTTTTTACCCCTACCCTTGTTTCTACATCGGTCCATTCACCCTCTGTACCATCTGGTTGGGCAGGTGCTGCTGTGGAGGATCTCCGTTTTCGACTACTGAAAAAGGGGAAACAATTATTTTTGCATCTAATAACAGGAAAAATATTAGAAAGAGGGAAATATTCTCTACACTCCTTCAGAGAATGAATGATAAATTTTATAGGCTATTCTGTGCCTCAGAGAAGCTAAGAAAACAACAGCCCTCTAAAGAGATACTACTCACCCAGTTGGAGATTCTTGTTTTAAAGTCTCAATATCAGTAAACTGAACAGACTGTCCACCACCCCTTGTTTTATAAACATCTCCCTAAAGTCAAGAGAAAAGGTCACTGTTAGACTTTGATACATCCAAATAATAAATACACATAGATCATCTTTCAAACTGATCTCAAGATTCTACTGTTTCATGGAAACTCCCACTCACAAAACCAGATGGGACCTGGGACTGAGGCACTATTAAATATTAAAATATTTCAGAAATTTGACTCTATATCTCTTACTACACAAAAGATGTCAATACAATAGAATCGGTAGCATTCATACTTGCAGGAAAAAATAAATTCTTTTTTCCTCAGCCTATAATTTAAAACTAAATTACACCATGCATCAAGAAGTATGCCAGAAATTTCTAAAAGTTCTAAGGCATTGTACTTTCTTCTCTGGGCTTAGCACCCCCATATTATCCTCTAAATTGAATTCAAAATTAAAAGTACCCTCCCATTCTTGTGTTTTATTTCTCTGATTATTCACTGACTTGATGAAAAAAAAGTTCTGCACACAGACAAGTCTCCTTCGGGGATAGGGTTTAGGGTGGCTCAGTACTGAGTCATTTTGATAGGTCAGATACTAATGTGGGCTTTTTATTTTGAACTGATAAGAAAGTTAGGAGTTCTCTGTTTCAATTTACTTTTCCAGAAGGTATTAAAATTAAAAATACAGTAAGAACGAATGCATTACAGATCCATCTGGAGTTCCTCTAACAAACCTGAGAATCTAAACCTCATACAAAGGAAAACAGATTTACGTTTGGAGGCAAAAAAAAAAAAAAAAAAGAAGGTGGGGACCAGGTTTGCTGGTCCAATGGAGCCTGGTGTAACCACTGAGACTATGGCCCCTAGTTGCCCTTCAGGTCTGGAATTGAACCCACAACTGTGGTTTCCAGCCAAACAAAGTACAGGCATGTGAGTTAAACATTTACCTCACGTAGACACACGCCCTGGAGAGAACAATCATGGGAGAAGGAAGGACTGCTTATGCACAGGGAGACAGCTCAGGGTGCAGAAGAGTATGAAGGGATGGACACTGGGAGGAGGTAACTATGGGGAGGAAGTGGGAGGGGAGCTGCTGCATTGTAAATTTTGGTCAATGACATGAGACAAAGTATATGTGAACTGCTGTATGAAAAGTGAATTTACTCTGTAAATCTTCACCCAAATCCTAATAAAAAAAAAAAAGGAAAACAGATTTAATCCCAGTTTAGCAGATTCACAACTTAAGTCATTATTTTAGTTTACCACCAACAACCAATATATTACACTGAATACCCATTTATGGTCCAGTTGACACTGCTTATGTGTCATCAAAGGAATCGTAGGGCAAAATTTTTTTCTTGGTTGACTTTTTTTATATATTTTTTCCTCCTGTGTAAATTTGTTTTTACCTTAATTAGTTTAGTTTCAATCTCCCCATTGGAGGCTAGTTCCTGGTGGGTCAGCATGTACTTCTCACACTTAGCTAGTGCCTTTTCATTTGCAACAGATACTGTGATGGCATGAGGGACATGTGGCTGCATGACTGTTTCAGTTTGCACGTTAGAGGCAGGCTTATGATCTACCCATCTGTCCCCTGCAGAGCGTGATCGTCTGTGTCGGTGACGAATTGGTGGTGCATTCTGATCAGATTGAAAGAGGAATCAAGAAACAATCACAACCCAGAATTAATTTAATTAATTAATTTAAGTGAATTATTAGAAGTGCAGCAGGTTTGGCTGTATTAATTGAGGACAATGTCAAAACAAATACACAAACCTTTTCAAAAGCTAAATATGCTATTCAAGTAATTTAAATGTTCTCTTTGTACTTAAGCACAAAATCAACATCTTTTAATACCAGCTCATATTATATAAACACACACACACACACACACACATACATACTACCCAGGAGCTTCCCTTTCAACAAACAAAGAATGGAAGGAATAATGTTGCTAGTCTTTTCTACTTAGTATTCAGGATAAATAATTCATTTTGCTTTCTAAATCAAAAAAAACAATATTTGTGCTCATAATTATGAGGTAATCTACTAGGTCCACAACTCTTTTAAAAGCCTCAATAAGATCAAAAAGCCCTAAACTCATCCTAGGCCTCTAAGCTAAAGAGACAATGACTCTCCTTATACAAAAAGACAAAAATAATAAAAGTTGATGAAACTAAATACTACAAAATACTAAAGAGCATAGGTAGACTAAGAATCCTATACATAGGACAAACAAAATATTTCTGAATACTCAGTTAAGATCTGAACATTTCAAATAGAACTTCATGAAAATTCAAGATACAATAATGCTAAAATATACCAACTAATTTTTTTCCTTAAATATTTCATAAAGGTTCCAAGATTCCAATAAAGAATATAGTCTATCACTCTTTATTTTGTAATAAAAACCTAGCTCCTTCCAGTCAAATGTAGCACAATCAGCCTAAGAAAAATACAGAGTTAATAATTCGAAGCAATTAAGAACACTGTGAACATCTTCTGTTTAGAAAACCGAAAATAAATTAAAAAGTCTGTCACAGGCCCAATCCTTCAAAGCTGATCAAGTATTAAGATTCAATTTCACAATCTGTACCTGGAGAACTAAAGCATTTCCCCTATGTAATCACAAGGTACAATGAAGCACGGTTGACAGTTCATATCATTATTCTGTAAAACATGGTCAATCTAATTTGCCACTAAAGCTGTTTGATCCTCAAAGCAAGAAACTTCCATTCAAAATGGTTTCATTAAAGCTGAACAAGAAAGAAAGATTAACTCTTATGACATTAGAATCACCTGGGGATGTTGTTAAAAGGTAGATTTCTGGTTTAGTTCATTGGAGGTCAGTGTCAGATTACCCAATTAACGAGGTAAGCACTGGCTTACTTGTGCTTTCTTACTAACCTAGTGAATAATTTCACATTTTTTGATATTGAAAAAAAAAAAAAAGTTTGGTACAGATTAGTAAGGAAGTACAAGTAAAGCTGTGCTTACTTTGCTTTTGGGTAACCAGCCCCTGTCTGGGGTAGAAATGCAAAGTCTTAGCCGAAGGTGGAACCAGAATGAAGTGGTAGAAACCCTGGATCTAACACTTAGAAAAGGTGACTATTTTCATGAATATAATAAGCAAAATCTTTTGAGACAAGCTTACAAAGCACCACCTAGGGACCTTTCAGGAAGATGACAGTCCTTATATCTACTAGTATTTATGAAATAAATAATTCAAATTTCTTCCTCACTGAAGCATATAAATTCAGTCTACCCAATATAATTTTTGACCAAAAAAATCCATAAGCTGATATACTAGCCTTATATTAACTTTTCTGCTGCACTTCTAAAGAGATTTTGATTTCAAGTGAAAAGTAAAAGATCTCCAATAAATCCTCTTAGGTTTCTCGTAGCCAAATTAGATGTTACATTACATCAGTGTTGACCAGACACAAGCAGGACTGGAATAGTTTCCAATCTGTAAACTTTTGTGAAAAAAAGGAGTTTACTAGAATTGGTCAGAAAGACCATTCACCATAATTTATTCCCTAAAAAAATGTATGAGACAAAATCCACATAGAAAATCACATACTAAGAGACTTCAGAATAATCTGTTCCCTTGTTAAATACTTTACGATTCATCATCATCTAATAATCAGGAATGTGGGCCACATATACAGTCTTCAATTATATAAGAAAATCTACAACAAATATTTACTGTAGGATTAATTTGTTTAGAAAAAATTTCTAAATGAGCATGTTAAGATTTTACTGAATAGAAATGTACAGTATTAACTTGGTCCATGTATTCAGAGTCAAAGGAAAACTTTAATCTTTGAGAATGAAAATATAAGTGAATTTGTTTAAACACCCTTGAATGAGGCAGAGCCCTTAAAAAGCAATTAAAATTGAGATTAAAAGCAAGTTTTGCAATTCAGACATTCAATAGTTACAAAATTGGCTTAGATGCAAAACACTCAATGGCATGAAAATTTAAAAAAAAGGGGGGAGGGATAATTTTATACCAAAGAGATTTAAGAAATAAGCAATGCATTTACCTTCATTGGATCATGGAGTAAAAAAGGAAATTTTTAGGACAACTGGGAAAATGTAAATATGGACTATACTTTAGAAGGAGCTGTGGTGGTGCAGCAGTGAAAGCACTCAACGCCAACCAAACAGTCAGCAGTTTGAACCTACCAGCCACTCAACTGAAGAGATGTGACAGTCTGCTTCCATAAAGATTTACAGTCTCAGAATCTATGGGGCAGTTCTGCTCTACCCTATAGGATCGCTATGAGTCTTAATCAACTTGATGGCAGTGGGTTTTGGTTTCTTTGAGTATATTAGAAGGTGCCTTACTAATGTTAACTTTTTTAATGTGATAAGGATAGTGGTTATGAAGGAAATATTCTTAAGACATGAGTGGTAAAGAATTTAGGGATAAAGTGCCACAAAGTCTATGATTTACGTTCAAAAGGGCCAAGGAAATAATGTCTATATATTGATTATAGACTGGTATATCTGGTAAGGGGAAATATTACTGTACTATTCTTTCACCTTTGGGTTTGAAATTTGTCAAGATAAAAGACTAGAGAAAATAGTTTAAAAAACAAAAGTTCAGAAACCTAACAATACTTAATTTGGAGAAAACTAGACCCATTGTTGCCAAGTTGATTCTGTCTCATAGTGTCTACATAGGAGAGTAGAACTGCCCCATAGGGTTTCCAAGGCTGTCACCTTTATGTAAGCAGACTGCCTCATCATTCTTCCAAGGAGCAACTGGTTAGTTTGACCCACCAACCTTTCACTTAGCAGCTTAGCGCTTTAGCCACTGCCCCAGGGCTCCTAATTTGGAGAAAGGGAACCAAAAGAAAAAACATGCAACTCTGATTTTGTGGACTACTCAATAGCTTATGTAACTGAAAACCAGATTACTTTAGGATGTGCCAGACTGAGCTAAATTCATTAAATGCAAGAGATTATTTCTGTTGCCAAACATGTTTATGCTTTTTCAGATGAAGAGCCAGGCCTCAATTTCAGGGTGACTTAAGTCTTAGAAATTAACTAACATAAAGATTCAACCTTTTTTATATTGGAGCCCACCATCTTTCCATTGAACTTTCTGAACCAAGTTATAAAAAAACACAGATAAAATCTATTGCTTCTATGCTTTAAAATAATGCTGGCACTAACCCTGCAGCAAGGATCCTCTTGTATTTCTATTTCATCTCTGAATGTAGGAACCACCTCCCTGCCTTCAGTCCAGTACATCCCTCGCCTTCTGTCTGACATGATACAAGTTTTACTTTGTCCTGGCTCCTGCTGCCTACGCCTTGCAATAGATGTGACATTGAGAGGTGTGTTGTACGGAGGAATTTTCTGCTCCCATTCCGAAATACAGGAAGCTACAGAAATGCTGCTGCAAGAGTTAGAGCGCCTATGTAGCTGTGGCTGGCTCATGAGTTGCTGCTGGTCGTTGGAAATCTGAGCAATATAGTTACTAGAAAGCTAAAAAAAGTGAAAAGAAATTAATGAACAAGGCTGAAAAACTGTGAAACAATTTATTACTTTTCTATAATTTTAGAACATGAAGATTTACTATTAGAATTTATACTTAATAAATTTATGTGCTAAATTAGTACTAAATGTTATTTATTGTACTAAATTTCAAAATATTTTAAAATAAAAGATTAAGAAAGAAAATAATGAGTATAAAATAAAAACTTTATCCTTACAGAAAGTCACTTAATCAAAACAAATTTTCTCAAAAAAGGGGGACCAGGTTTGTTGATCCGATAGAGCTTGGCGGAACCACTGTGACTATGGCCCCTAGGTGCCCTTCAGGTCTGGAATTAAACCCACTCCTGTGCCTTCCAGTCAAACAAAAGACAGGCATATGAGGTGAAGATTCACCTGAGGTAGATAACACTCCTTGGAGAGAACAATCATGGCAAAAAGAAGGGCTGTTTATGCACATGGAGACGGCTCAGGCGGCAGGAGTGCATGAAGGGATGGGCACAGGGAAGAGGTAACTATCGGGAGGAAGTATGAGGGGAGATGTTGCATTGTGGTAAATTGTGGTCAATGTCATGAGACACAGTATATGTGAACTGCTGTATGGAAAGTGAATTTGCTCTGTAAATTTTCACCGAAATCACAATTAAAAAAAAATTTTTTTTTTCTCTAGTACTGTGATACTAAAAAGGGACAAATAACTTACAGGTACTGGTGATGGAGAAACAGATATTTGAGGAACTTTTTCTCGATCCCGCTCCCGAGAGGGTCTCTCTGGCTTTTCTGTTTTGGGTTCAGTGACAATAGCCTTCAGTTGTTTCAGTTTCTCATCTTTGACCCAGAGTTTATTCTGCATCTCCAGCTGTTTGGCTGCGACTCGACGCTCCTACAGATTATCAATGGCCATTTATGCACTAATTCAGCTATACCAAATGTGTGCTCTGATTGCCCAATCACTTTATCCCCTCAAACTGACAGTTCTCCAATTCCCCTTAGAGTCATTGTACTTCATAATGCTAATTAACCTGTTATGAATTTTGAGGACAGTGAAATGAACTAAACAGTGGCTACTACTGCCAGTACTGTCAATGCCCTACCCCAAGTACAATAATTCAAAAAAATGCAAACTACAATTTCAAAGAAATCATCCAACTCTGAGATAAGCATAGAGGAATGACACTCACACATTCTTTTTCCCACTTCATTGTTGTTTCTGTCACCATGCCTTGCAACCTGGCCTCTAATCTGCGTTTATCAGAAAACTGTCGCTGAAGTTTCTGGTTCTGGGTTTCAAGTTCCTGTTGTAGATTGCGCTTATCTTCTTCATAAATAGTAGTTGTTTTCTCTAAAATTTCAATCTGAGAAGGTAGACCATTATGTTCAACATTTGATACATGCACATCTTCGGAAGTTATAAAATTTTTCTTAATTTGCTTATACAGGTATAGTTAAGGGAAGAAAAAGCATAGAAGTACTTTTTCTCTTCTAATACTTCATCTGAATTTCTACCTTCACTCCCAGAAATAACCTGTTAAACAAATTCCTCACTGGAAGACAAAGTTATACTTGATTTTCCTCTAACTTAAGGTCTAAACTTTGAATTTTCTATATTATTTTCAGAATAGTGAAAACTGTATTGTGATTAGCTTCTCTCTAGTATGAGATGTGTACCCCATCCCATCCCCTAAAATGACGTCTGTAAAACAAAGAATGAGCATATATTATGCTGTACAGCACCAGTCCCCAACAAAACAGTATTTCCTTCTATTCCATAGGAAGGAGTTAATCCTGAACGTGTGCTCTATTACAATCTGATATGTAAGCACAAATATGGATCCAATTAACCTTTACTGAATATCTGTCATACCCAAGACACTATGCTAGCACTATGTTACTCATTTAATCATTTACTTCATGTGTATTGAAGAAATATTTCTAATATATCAAAAAGCAAGCTATAATTTATGGTAAACTCTAGAAAGTCCTATAGAAAGCTTATTTGTTTGGGTCACAGAACAATCTTTTCAATTGCTAAAGTCTTACTCATAAAATTAAAATGTATTATTCCTCTTTTCCCTTATGCTTTTCACTCACATTTCCTCTTCTTAGGGATGGGATGAAGATTAGTAAATAGCCAAGTGATAACTTATAGCAAACAGCAGTTATAGCTAAATTAGAGACTAGTGTTAAATAGCCAGCACATATATCCATTATAATAATTCCAAAACAAACCTTATATTCTAAAGTTTTGTTCTTCTTTTCCAGTCGTTCTAATTCTAATTTCTGTCCCGAGATCACCTTTTCTTTTTCATTTAGTTTTCCCTGAATGTAGTTTTCTTTATTTAAAATAGCATTGTCAAATTCTTGTAACAAAGCTTTAAAAGAAATAGCTGAAACAAAATCACAGGCAAAATTTTACTCCAAATCCAAAACTACTAACAAAATAAAATTTTGTTAGCAGACATTTTGTAAATTATCATGGTGACCCCATGTGTGTCAGAGTAGAACTGTGCTCCAATGACTGTAATTTAAAAGAAGTTCATTGCTAGACCTTTCTTTCAAGGAACTTCTGGGTGAATGTAAACCTCCAATGTTTTCAGTTTGTACCACATAGGGAAGGGAGTTCAAATTTTGGGAAAAAAGGTATGGAATGAATCCTGAGGGGTTGGACTTCAGTTAGAAATGGCTATGTGAACTCACGGTTAGATAAAGAAATCTGCTGCTGATGGATTTGAACCACCAACCTTTCCATTAGCAGCCAAGTGCAAACTGTTTGCACCACCCAGGGGCGTTATGGTGGCACCATGAGTTGGAACTGACTCAATGGCAATAGGTTTGGTTATAGATTTGGTGTATAAAATACAGCTTTTCAGCAACTATTTGAAATCTATCATCAGAAAACAAATTTGAATGGAAATCAGGAGTTTGATTCTCACAAAGCTCAGTTTTGCTTATTTTTGGGTAGATGGGGGTGGGAAGCTAATTCCTTCATTTTGCACTATGGCCTCCCTTTCCCATCCCATATGACCCACTTACTTACAATGTTGCAAATAATCTACTTCAGAACCACAAATATAAAAGTAAAAATAACCCTAGATATAGGATCAGACCAGAGAGCAACTCAAAGTAAGATCAGTTAAGTGGTATACCACTTACTAGTTATATGACTTTGGGCAAGTTATTTAATTTTTCTGAGTGAATTTCCTCATTTCAAAATGGGGATTTAAATATCACCCACCTCATAACTTTCTTATGAAGATTAGAATGCATTAGTGAAAATAATAAAAATTCACTGAGCACTTACCATATACCAGTTCTAACTGTTCTATATGATTTTCATATATTACATCTCATTTAAAAGGAGCTCTGGTGGCATAGTGCCTAAGGCATTTGACTACTAACCAGAATGTTGGCAGTTCAAGCCCACCAGCCACTCTGCAGAAGGAACACTGGGCAATCTACTTCCATGAAGATTTACCACCTCAGAAACCCAAGGTGGGGGTGTCTCTGTGAGTTTGAATTGACTTGATGCAATGAGTTTTTTTTTTATATCTCATTTAGCCTCACAATAACCCCTGAAGGAGGACCAATTACTATTATTACTATTTTGCAGATAAGAAAAACAAATCTATCACTGTCAGTAAAAAAAAAGGAGGAAAACACACACACATACACACACCTTTTTTTCTTTTAAGTTGTAGGAGTATAAAAGCTGGGAAAAAAATATTCCTTGTCTATCTAATTAAGCAATGCCTGAGCACTATAAAGTATAGCCTCTTAACTATGCATCCTACCACACAACCAAGATTCATAGCAAATTTCTTCCATTTCTGAAGCTCAAATGACTGCAAACAATTTTTGCTCTTACATTGTTTGTTAAACTCATCAATCATTATTTGTCGTAGATGATGTCGTTTCTCTAAGGCTTCAATCAACCTGGGAAGTGTCTGCTCATCATTAATATCCAAAATTTCACAGGACGGTAAAGGTGGAAAACTCTGTAAAACCACATCCGTAACCAATGGCTCTGTATTAAATTATAAAAAAGAAAAAAAAAATTATAAAAGTTTTGCAGTGGAGAAAGAGCTTATTTAAGCAGGTTTAACACTTTGCTTAAAGCTCCAATCTGGTTAACTACATACTTTCTAGAGTTGTCTTAATCATACCACCCACCATAAAATGAGAGGCATAGTAAAGTATGTAACCAAAAACAAAATCTTATTTATACTTTGGTTCAAATTTTTTGCACTTGGCTTTTGAGAGGATGTGGGAAAGATTTATACCAGGTAGATACACTTCTTAGAATGATCAACCATGAGAAAACAGAAGGGCAGTATTTGCACAGGGAGATAGCTCAGAGGTCAAAAATGCATTGGAAAGAAGAACACAGGGAAGAGGTAACTATAGGAAAGAAGTAGAAAGAAAGCTGTTACATTGTGGGGATTATAATCAATATTATGAAACAAAATGTATATAAACTGCTGTATGGAAAAGAAATTTGCTCTGTAAACATTTACCCAAA